CTTTGATTGTAAGTGAACTATAAATCCCAGCAACTACAATTCCCAAATGTCAAGGTCTATTTCCCCCAAACCACCAGTGTTCACATTTGAGCATATTGAATTTTAGTGCCAAGTTTGATCCAGATCCATTATTTTTTGAGTCGTCAGTGCTCTCTGGATGTAGGTGAACTACAACTCTAAGCTCAAGATCAGTGCCCACCAAACCCTTCCAGTGTTTTCTGTTGGTCATGGGAGTTGTGTGCCAAGTTTGGTTCAATTCCATCATTGGTGGAGTTCAGAAGGCTCTTTGATTGTAAGTGAACTATAAATCCCAGCAACTACAACTCCCCAATGACAAAATCAATTCCCCCCCCCTCCCAACCCCACCAGTATTCAAACATGGGTGTATTGAGTATTTGTGCCAGGACTATCTTACATATCAGATATTTACATTACGATTTACTATGGCCCGTAGGAAACTAAAGGAATTGAGTTAATCTGTTACTGTTCAAGTAACTATTGCTGCTTAAACGGTTGCATTATTGAATCCAGGTCTCATTGAGTATGATGGCATTTTAAAATTTCTTAATATTTTGCCTCCTTTCCTGTTGGATTGCATGTGTTTCCCACTTTTTCATGATTTGTTTTTCAACTTTCCACCATTCCAACTTTGCCGTATACTGTACTTTCAATCCCTGGTTCGCCCTTTCGACCTCTGCCGATGCTCTTATGGCACCCTGGGGTTTTTCCTCTCCATCAGTGTGGCACTATCTAATATTTAGCCTTGCATTTGCAAGCTTCAACAACCTGGGTTCCACTTTTCAACCAGTTTACCTTTCTGACAGTGGCCCAGGCCCCTTACCATCAGATAAGTGGGAGGCTCCTGGTCCACGGCGTACACTTTACCAATAATGTGATGTGGCGGCAAAAAAAGCCAATGGGATGTTGGCCTGCATCAATAGGAGCCTAGTGTCTAGGTCTAGGGAAGTCATGCTCCCCATGCTCTATTCCGCTTTGGTTAGACCATTTTACCTAGAATACTGTGTCCAATTCTGGGCACCACAATTCAAGAGAGATATTGACTCTAAGCTGGAATGTGTCCAGAGGAGGGCGACTCAAATGATCAAGGGACTGGAGAACAAGCCCTACGAGGAGCGGCTTAAGAAGCTGGGCATGTTTAGCCTGAAGAAGAGAAGACTGAGAGGGGATATGATAGCCATGTATATATATATGTGAGAGGAAGCCACAGGGAGGAGGAGGGAGCAAGCTTCCTTTCTGCTTCCCTGGAGACTAGGATGCAATGGAGCCATGGCTTCAAACTACAAGAGAGGAGATTTCATCTGAACCTGAGGAAGAACTTCCTGACTGTGAGAGCCGTTCAACAGTGGAACTCTCTGCCCCGGAGTGTGGTGGAGGCTCCTTCTTTGGAGGCTTTGAAACAGAGGCTGGATGGCCATCTGCCAGGGGTGCTTTGAATGCAATATTCCTGCTTCTTGGCAGAATAGGGTTGGACTGGATGGCCCAGGAGGTCTCTTCCAACTCTAGGATTCTTTGATTCTTTGAACCATGGAGTACGCTATGTCTTACAGACTCACTTAAGACTCCCACATAACTCTTTTGCTTCAAAAGGGCAACTTTTAATCGATTTCGTCTGGCACGACAGTCAGGATGAGGTCTTCATTCCCTCTCCGCACCACGATGGCAAGGGCCTCGCTGTTCTGCACGGCATCCGTGACATCTCGCGTCGAAGTGACGGTTTTCCCGTTAATGGCAATAATGACATCCCCGTCTTGCAGACCAGCGCTGGAACCAAAGCCAGAGTTTAAAATACAGGAGAAATTGCCTTTTTTGGAGCCATTTCCCTTGGTAATAACAAAGTATATACTATATATACTCGAGTATAAGCCTAGTTTTTCAGCCCCTTTTTTAGGCTGAAAAAGTTCCCCTTGGCTTATACTCGAAGTCAAAGTTATTTATTATTTGACTCTGTAATTAGTATTATTTTTATTGCATTCATTATTTTACTCTATTATTATCATCACATTTATTATTTTTCTCTATTTATTGTTATTGTTACGTTTATTATTTTTACTTCATTTATGATTGTTTTAATTACATTTATTATTTAACTTTATTATTATTACATTTATTATTATACTCTTGATTATTATTACATTTATTATTTTGCTCTATTATTTCACTCTATTATTATATTTATTATTTTACTGTAATATTGTTATTTTTATTCCATTTATTATTTTACTCTTTTATCATCACATTTGTTATTTTTCTCTATTGTTATTGTTACATGTATTATTTTTACTTCATTTATTACTGTTTTAATTACATTTATTATTTTACTCTATTATTATTACATTTATTATTTTACTCTAATTATTATTACATTTAATATTTTTCTCTTAATATTATTATTACATTTATTATTTTGCTCTTATTACACTTATTTCACTCTATTATTATTATATTTATTATTTTACTGTAATATTGTTATTTTTATTCCATTTATTATTTTACTCTATTATCATCACATTTATTATTTTTCTCTATTGTTATTGTTACATTTATTATTTTTACTTCATTTATTATTTTTACTTCATTTATTATTGTTTTAATTACATTTATTATTTTACTCTATTATTATTACATTTATTATTTTGCTCTATTATTATTACATTTATTATTTTACTCTATTATTATTACATTTATTATTTTACTCTATTATTATTACATTTATTATTTTGCTCTATTATTATTACATTTTTACTCTATTGATTATTAGTATTACATTTATTATTTTGCTCTATTATTATTACACTTATTTCACTCTATTATTATTATATTTATTGTTTTACTGTAATATTGTTATTTTTATTACATTTATTATTTTACTCTATTATCATCACATTTATTATTTTTCTCTATTGTTATTGTTACATTATTATTTTTACTTCATTTATGATTGTTTTAATTACATTTATTATTTAACTTTATTATTACATTTATTATTATACTCTTGATTATTATTACATTTATTATTTTGCTCTATTATTTCACTCTATTATTATATTTATTATTTTACTGTAATATTGTTATTTTTATTCCATTTATTATTTTACTCTATTATCATCACATTTATTATTTTTCTCTATTGTTATTGTTACATTTATTATTTTTACTTCATTTATTACTGTTTTAATTACATTTATTATTTTACTCTATTATTATTACATTTATTATTTTGCTCTATTATTATTACATTTTTACTCTATTGATTATTAGTATTACATTTATTATTTTGCTCTATTATTATTACACTTATTTCACTATTATTATTATATTTATTATTTTACTGTAATATTGTTATTTTTATTCCATTTATTATTTTACTCTATTATCATCACATTTATTATTTTTCTCTATTGTTATTGTTACATGTATTATTTTTACTTCATTTATTATTGTTTTAATTACATTTATTATTTTACTTTATTATTATTACATTTATTATTTTGCTCTATTATTATTACATTTTTACTCTATTGATTATTAGTATTACATTTATTATTTTGCTCTATTATTACACTTATTTCACTCTATTATTATTACATTTATTATTTTACTGTATTGTTATTTTTATTACATTTATTATTTTACTCTATTATCACATTTATTATTTTTCTCTATTGTTATTGTTACATTTATTATTTTTACTTCATTTAGTATTATTGCTTTAATTACATTTATTATTTTACTCTATTATTATTACATTTATTATTTTGCTCTATTATTATTACATTTTTACTCTATTGATTATTAGTATTACATTTATTATTTTGCTCTATTATTATTACACTTATTTCACTCTATTATTATATTTATTATTTTACTGTAATATTGTTATTTTTATTCCATTTATTATTTTACTCTATTATCATCACATTTATTATTTTTCTCTATTGTTATTGTTACATTTATTATTTTTACTTCATTTATTACTGTTTTAATTACATTTATTATTTTACTCTATTATTATTACATTTTTACTCTATTGATTATTAGTATTACATTTATTTTGCTCTATTATTATTACATTTATTATTTTTACTCTATTTATTATTATTACATTTATTATTTTGCTCTATTATTATTACACTTATTTCACTCTATTATTATTACATTTTACTATATTATTTTTCATTATTATTTTACTGTATTATTGTTATTTTTATTACATTTATTATTTTACTCTATTATTATTATCATCATCACATTATTTTTCTCAATTTATTGTTATTGTTACATTTATTATTTTTACTTCATTTATTATTGTTTTATTTACATTTATTATTTTACTCTATTATTATTGTTATTTTTATTACATTTATTATTTTACTCTCTTTATTATTATTGGAAGTATCTGTAAGCACATTTACACTGAAGAGGGTTAGAATAATGGTTTAATCAGAGTTGGACACTCTTATCTTAAATTACAGTTTAATGTAAATATTCAGAAACATTTAACCTCCTGATGCCTCAATTCATATAACTGTATTGATATCTATTTTTATTTTGAAATTTACCAATATCTGCTGCATTTCCCACCCTTCTTTGTGGTACAATTAGGTGTCTCGGTTTATATTTGGGTCGGCTTATACTCGAGTATATACGGTAGATTGCTTAGCAAGGCACCAGAAAGGTTGAACTGCAATCCCCACATTCTGTAGCTCGCATAGATGTGGATGATGGGAATTCTATATCTGCACAAAGGCGTACTCAACCTAGAACTAGGCGTGAGAGATGCACTTCCGAAGCCAAAATTTCACCAAGGAAGTGCCTCTCCTGGCTCCGATTACCACTGCAATGCAAGAACATTCTAGCAAACTATCCCGCATTCCTCTTTGTTTACCTTTCGGCAGCCGTTCCTGGAATCACCTCATAGACGTAGACCCCGACCCCGGCAATCAGGTCTGGGAAATTCCGGTCCCTTCGTCTCAACTCACGGATGAGGCTGGAAATAGATTGCAAACACAGTCCAGCAGTCCAATAATTTGGTAACCCAGGCCAAACACTGAGCTAGTACAGTAGAGTCTTGCTTATCCGACCTTCGCTTGTCCGACCTTCGCTTATCCGACATTCCATCTTATCCGACGCTCTTATCCGATACTCCCCCTTTCCTCCAGCATTTCTCCTTCAGTTAAAGGAGCGCTCCCAAACTCTCTCTCCATTCCCAATAAAGGGGAAAGGCAAGACAAGGAAGAGGGAGGAAAGGGGGAAAAGGGGGCAGGACCAGTCTGTAGACCAGGGGTCCTCAATCTAAGGCCCACGGGCCAGATACGGCCCTCCAAGGTAATTTACCTGGCTCTTGCTCAGGGTCAACCTAAGTCTGAAATGACTTGAACGCACACAACAACAACGGCAACAATCCTATCTCATGAGCCAAAAGCAGGCCCACACTTCCCATAGAAATAGTAATAAGTTTATATTTGTTAAAATTGTTCTTCATTTTAATTATTGTATTAAGTGGAGGTTTCGCACTACAAATAAGATTCCATCTGAACATGAGGAAGAACTTCCTGATTGTGAGAGCCGTTCAGCAGTGGAACTCTCTGCCCCGGAGTGTGGTGGAGGCTCCTCCTTTGGAGGTTTTTAAACAGAGGCTAGATGGCCATCTGTCAGGGGTGCTTTGAATGCAATATTCCTGTTTCTTGGCAGGGGGTTGAACTGGATGGCCCACGGTAGTCCACACTCTTGTTACATCCCGTTTAGACTACTGCAACGCTCTCTACGTGGGGTTGCCATTGAAGACGGCTCGGAAGCTTCAATTGGTCCTCGGCAGCCATGATACTAACAGGAGCGGAGCACAGGGAGCATACAACCCCTCTGCTGCACCAGCTCCACTGGCTGCCGATTTGCTACCGGGCTCAATTCAAAGTGCTGGCGTTGGCCTATAAAGCCCTAAACGGTTCTGGCCCAAGCTACCTATCCGAAACGTATCTCTGCCTACGAACCCACCAGGACTCTAAGATCTTCTGGGGAGGCCCTGCTCTCGATCCCGCCTGCATCACAAGCACGGCTGGCGGGGACGAGGGACAGGGCCTTCTCTGTGGTGGCCCCCCGGCTGTGGAACACCCTTCCCATGGACATTAGATCAGCTCCTACGTTAATGGTGTTTCGAAGGAAACTAAAAACCTGGCTGTTTGAACAGGCATTCGGATAAACAGTGCAATGAATACGATGAATATAGGAACGGAATTATGGACGACGAATTGGATCACGATTCTAGTTACGAGACGTTAATGTGTTGTTATTGATGTGTCATTACTTTGTATACTATGCTGTTAATGGTTTTTAAATTGTATGCTGTTATGATTGTCTTTTTGCTCTTGTTGTGAACCGCGTTGAGTCGCCTACGGGCTGAGAAACTGCGGTATACAAGCAAAGTAAATAAATAAATAAAAAAAATGGGGTTGGACTGGATGGCCCAGGAGGTCTCTTCCAACTCTAGGATTCTATGGTTCTAGAAAAAGCAGTTCAATAGATGGTAATGTTATGTAGTAATTGCTGTATTTATGAATTGAGCACCAAAACATCGCAATGTATTGAAACAGCTGTGGATCTGGGTGGGGGGCAGACTGCGTTGGATAATACAGAAGGTTGGATGAGCGAAGGTTGGATAAGCGAGACTCTCCTGTAATGAAAAAGTGCAACGTCCAGCAAAATGACAACAAAGGCTTACTTGAAAGTCAGAGGGAGCATCCGGAGTCCTAGATACTTCTTCTTGGTCCTGCTCTTTCCTAGAAAGAGGGGAGAAATGGCCATTAGCATTCTGAAACAATCCACTAAAAATTACACACAGTGGCTGACGTAGTGTTACAAGAGACCCTAAGAGCCATCCAGCCCAAGCCCATTCAGCCATGTAGGAATGCACCATCAAAGCACTCCTGGCAGATGGTCACCCAGCCTGTTCTGAAGAAGGAAACGCCAATGAATTTCTGGTTGTGCTTCCCGACACTCTCACCTTTTGTCTGACGGTTGTGCGAGTCTTCCAGGAACCGGCGGATGCGATCTGAAGGGATGGCGAAGGAGATGCCGGCCGTAACTTTGAGAGTATTCATCCCAATGACTTCGCCATCCTATTGGGAAGAAATTGAGACATTGGGTCAACAGGCCACAAGCTGAACGTGAATCAATGGTGTGATGGGACAGCCAAAAAAGTCAAGAAGTCCCCAACAATGGAGAAAAAGCAAGTGAGATTTATGTTGGAAGTCGCCAGTATTGGGCACGACAAGGAGGAGATGGGGTTCCCACTAAAAGCACTAGGGGTTTCTGAAGGTGTCACTGCACAGAATATACGAGGGTTGAATGAAAAGTGATGCCTCCACCTTCGTAACTCCTCAACAGATGGCAGTACTGGCATGCGGCTGATACTGGCTTGTTCAGTAGACTCTCCTCTACAGTTCCATTTCAGCGGGAAGCCTTAGCATTGAACGGTTGCGTTGTTAAAGTGCAAAGTACCATAAGTTTTTAAATCTTTGTGTGTTATTGTCTATATGTGACTTATATTAATTGTATTGTTTTATTTGCTTATTTTTACTGATGTGTTGTTGGGTTTGGCCTCATGTAAGCTGCTCCCAATCCCCTTGGAGAGATGGTGGCAAGGTATAAATAAAGTTTTATTTTTTATTATCTGTATATATATAAAAATGCTCTGTGCATAATGAGTACCTTAAAAACAAAAGAACCAATGAACGAAATCACACCAAATTTGGCAACAAAACGTCTCACAACACAAGGAGTGTACATCACTCAAAAAATTATGATTTTGTCATTTGAGAGTTGTAGTTGCTGGAATTTATAGTCCACCTATAATCAAAGAGCGTTCTGATTCCAACGATGGAATTCAACCAAACTTGGCACACAGGCCTCCCATGAGCAACAGAAAATACTAGCAGCGTTTGGTGGGCATTGACCTTGAGTTTGGGAGTTGTAGTTCACCTACATCCAGACACCATTGTGGACTCAAACAATGATGGATCTGGACCAAACTTGGCATGAATATTCCATTTGCCCAAATATGCACACAGATGGAGTTTGGGGGAAATAGACCTTGGCATTTGGGAGTTGTAGTTACTGGGATTTATAGTTCACCTCCAATCAAAGACCATTCTGAATGAACACCACGAATGACAGAACTGGGGCAAACTTCCCACACAGAACCCCCATGACCAACAGAAAATACTTAAGGCCATCCAGCCCAACTCCCTTCACCAGGGCAAGAAAACGTAATCAAAGCCCTCCCGACAGAGAGCCATCCAGCCATAGATATAGATAGATTAATATGATTCACACACACACAGATAAAGTATTATAGATATGAAAGGGACTCCTAAAGATGGACAATGATATGTTGCATGTTCCAGAGTAGGCAAACCAGACAGTCTCTACGTCAACACTGTCAAAGAAACATCAAGAAATACCGTTTATCCACAAGCATAAAGACATTACATATATTAGAAACCAACACTTTCTAATTACTTTATTTTCCATATCATCAGACTGGGCCACAGCAACGTGTGGCAGGGGACGGCTTGTTATTATTATAAGTATGGAACCCTGTGCAGACGGTCGGTCAATGCAACTTAAGCAATGTGCAGTCACTGAATTCTTGACAGCAGAAAGTGTCACCTCAACATCTTTAAACTTACTCGCCCAACGACGCACAGTCCTCACATCAACACAATAACCACAAACAGCTTGCATTCTCTGATGAATCTCCTTTGGAGTGACACCTTCTGCTTTCAAGAATTGAATGACTGCTCGTTGCTTAAGTCGCATTGACCGACTGTCTGCACAGGGTTCCACACTTCACACTTTAACAACGCAACCGTTCAATGCTAAGGCTTCTCGCCAAAATGGAACTGTAGAGGAGAGTCTGCTGAACAAGCCAGTACCTGCCGCACACCAGCACTGCCATCTGTTGAGGAGTTATGAAGGTAGAGGCGTTACTTTTCATTCAACCCTAGTAGAACAAGCCTTAGGTATGAAGATTAAAGGTAGGCTTCTAACCACAGCGTATGTGACAGGTGCCAGAGGACCAACAAAAAACAAAATACTCCAGTACATTTAGGTAGCACTGAAATGGAGGCAGAGCAAAGAAGTAATGCCTTACCAGGTTTACCAAGGGCCCGCCGGAATTTCCATACTGAAAGCGAGAAGAGAATCAGGTTAATCACTTTGTCCAAATGCACCTCCTCTGGCAGCATTCTTTTACAGCTGAGTTCCCCCCCCCCCCCCAGTTTACTTAAAACCTTAGTAGTCCTCTGCCTGTGAGAGGTCTTTCTGGGAAAAGGGCCTCAGTGGTAGTTCACCTCAGTGGGAGAAAGGCCTCAGTGTGAGGTAGGCCTCAGTGTTAGTAGGCCTCAGTATGAGAAAGCCTCAGTGGTAGTTCACCTCAGTGGGAGAAAGGCCTCAGTGTGAGGTAGGCCTCAGTGTTAGTAGGCCTCAGTATGAGAAAGCCTCAGTGGTAGTTCACCTCAGTGTTAGTAGGCCTCAGTATGAGAAAGCCTCAGTGGTAGTTCACCTCAGTGGGAGAAAGGCCTCAGTGTGAGGTAGGCCTCAGTGTTAGTAGGCCTCAGTATGAGAAAGCCTCAGTGGTAGTTCACCTCAGTGGGAGAAAGGCCTCAGTGTGAGGTAGGCCTCAGTGTTAGTAGGCCTCAGTGTTAGTAGTTAGTAAGAGAACGCTTCAGTGTGAAGTCTGCTGTGTGTATATATATATATGTATAGGAGTTGATTATAAATTGTATGATTTTAACTGTATTTGTGTTTAAATTGGCTGCAGTAATGCTGGAGTGGCCTAAGTCAGAGGAGTCCTCCATGTGCGTTGCCATGGAGACCGATGCAGGAGAGAGGGAAGTGGGAGGAGCTTAGAGGGGAGAGTTTGAAAAAACGACAGTTAAAAATCAGTTAGGGTTTAGGTTTAGAGGAGTGAGCAGTCCGGGTTTAGGTTCAGAGGAGTCAGGAGTTAGGAGTTGGGAGAGAAGGAAAGGAAAGGTGGCGGAGTGACTTGTGAAGCAAAGCTTTGAGGCTTTGAAAAGCTGGGTTTGGCTATTGGAAGTTTCTCAGGCTAGTGCAGCCGAATGGTGAAACAGAGCTGGTATTCTTTTAGTCTAAGGAGAGGCTAAAGAATAGTTTACTTAGTATTTGATCTAGGGAGGATCAAATAAGGGAAACATCCCTGTATTGAAACTTTGTCTGAAACAAGTGCTCTACGTCAGAAAGATACTGTGTTACTTGAAAGAATGAACTGTTAAAGTTACAAGTATTATTCCAAGTGCAACAAGGAAAAGTTACGTCTTGCAACCACACGCTGTGTACTTAATAAAATTGTTAACTTTTATTTGAAGATTGGCTCCGCTCCATCTATTCTGGGTACCAAGTGCCATTTCTCACAATATTACAACTTACCTCACGTGGTGGCAGAAACGCAGGGAAAAGTAACCAAATAAATCTACATTCTTCTCTCCAGTCACGCTACAGTATATACAGTGTAATTACTACTAAGTTATTACTTTCTTAATAAAGGAGGAGGTGCAATTGAACAGCCTCCCTTCCAACTTGATGGTAAATTTGGTTCCTAATCGGCAACCTCCATTGTAAATCGGCCAGTTCTTTTTAAAATTGGGAACTGGGGTAAAATCTCCTGAATACTGGTTCTTTTCAAATTGGTGGCAACAATAAATCATCCCTCCGCTCCCTTGATTCTTTTCACCATGTAACTTCAGTGTGAGAAGAAACCCTGCGAGAGCGAAGCTGTTTGTCTGCATGAGAAAGAAGCCCAGCATGGAAACAAAGAAGGAAGTGTAAAGAATGTTGTTCGTGTTATGGAAACCTTGTTCTTGTAAACAGTGCAACCATATTATTTTGCTATAAAGAAAAGCCTCCTATGGAAGAGAGAACATTGGTCGGTATGTTTTTGTTCCTTTTCATCATTTTGGGCTACTGGTCCTGGGCCACGTTGGAGCTATTTGTAATTTGTAACATAGATTTCAAAGTATGTATGTATGTATGTTTAAAATGCAATGCTATGTGCCGAGTGTATCTCCTGTGTGGAAAGAGTTAACTGTACCATGGAGGGAATGGCATTCCTAGAGAGGTCATAAATCAGTGTAAAGAGCAATGGCCCCAGTGTATCTCTCCGAACGGATCTCCCGCTACGTCCCACCTCGGAATCTAAGATCTTCTGAGGAGGCCCTGCTCTCGACCCCGCCTCTATCACAAGTGAGATTGGCAGGGATGAGGAGCAGGGCCTTCTCAGTGGTGGCCCCCCACCTGTGGAACTCACTCCCGGGGGAAATTAGATCGGCGACATCCCTCCTTTCCTTCAGGAAAAAACTGAAAACATGGATATGGGATCAGGGATTTGGACAACCTGGCAGATAAAAAAGGACGTGGCGATAGACTGGAATTGACAAATGGAATGGAATTATGGAACGCTGAAGACACACGCTGAGCTTATAATTAGTTTTAATGATTTTAATGATTGTGTTATATATGGACTGTTTAATTGTGATAAATGTTGATTGTTTTTATATGTATATGTACCCTATGTGCCTTTTTTGTAATTGTGCCTTTTTTGTAAGCCGCCCTGAGTCCCCCCTTGGGTTGAGAAGGGTGGGGGTTGAGAAGGGTGGGGTAAAAGTAACTGAAATAATAATGAATAATAATAATGGACGCAGCGTCGTGCATCATACGTCATACGTCACTCTGGAATGCAGGAGGTGTGGACTAATACTGATAACAGCGTGTTCGCGATGTGGCTACCTGACGGAGAGGAAGCAGTTTTACGATGTGCTACTGTGTATAGCTGTAAATCAAGTAGTTTATAACCTAAAGATGGCTGTGATGATCGTGTTCCTTGCCTTGCTGTGCCGCCAATGCCACTGACAGGCCGTGCTGCTGCTAATAAGTTTCTCTACTGCACATTTATGGGGAGGGTCTTTTGTTAATAAGCCCACTCGCCCAGCACCTCTATCATATTCACGGCCCTTCTAGTTTGCTATTTCCTATAGTTTTAAGGAGCCCCCGGTGGTGCAATGGGTTAAAGCACTAAGCTGCTGAACTTGCTGATCGAAAGGTCACAGGTGAGCTCCTGCTGTTAGCCCCAGCTTCTGCCAACGCAGCAGTTCAAAAACATGCAAATATGAGTAGATCAATAGGTACTGCTTAGGCAGGAAGGTAACAGGGTTACATGCAGTCATGCCGGCCAGATGACCTTGGAGGTGTCTACAGACAACGCTGGCTCTTCGGCTTAGAAATGGAGATGAGCAACACACCCCAGAGTCAGACATGACTGGACTTAATGTCAGGGGAAAACCTTTACCTATAGTTTTAAAATGTTTTGCATGCTGGACAAAGAAGGGACCAACCCATCTTTCCTTGGCAGGGATCTATTCAGTCCAGGAACAGCCATAACTAAATATTATGGGCCATATGATACAGCCGGCTCCTCCCCTGATCCAGAGAAGGCTTCACTTACATTGATAATGGCATCCGTCTGGATATACTCCATATCCGAGTCCTTCAGCCCCAGCTCCTTGCCATCCCGCTGTGTGCTGCTCACTATCCCTGTGGTCACTGTGTTCTGCAAGGAGAAAGGGCTCCCCAGGGCCACCACAAACTCCCCAGGCCGAAGATCGGAGGATCTGCCCAGCAGAAGCACTGGGAGATCCATCTTAAAGAGGAGAAAACACACAGCAAAGAAGGAATCAAGGCACCTAGTCACCTGCAGTGATCCAAAACACCTTGAAGGTACGTAGGCAGGGATGCTATAATGTATTGTCGAAGGCTTTCATGACCAGAATCACTGGGTTGTTGTAGGTTTCGCCTGCATCTATGGCAAGCATCCTCAGAGGTAGTGAGGTCTGTTGGAAGTAGGAAAATGGGTTTATATATCTGTGGAATGACCAGGGTGGGACAAAGGACCTTTGTCTGCTGGAGCTAGGTGTGAATGTTTCAGCTGACCACCTTGATTAGCTTCTCCTCTTTAAGATGGATCTCCCAGTGCTCCTGCTGGGCAGATCCTCCGATCAGCTGAAACATTCACACCCTGGTTATTCCACAGATATATAAACCCATTTTCCTACTTCCAACAGACCTCATACCTCTGAGGATGCTTGCCATAGATGCAGGCGAAACGTCAGGAGAAAATGCCTCTAGACCATGGCCATATAGCCCGGAAAAACCTACAACAACCCGATGCTGTAATGGTTTGTTGTGACCTGCAACATAAGCCGATAGGCTTGCAAAGCACTCTGTGAGAGTCAAGGATCAAACTCTTTCCAGTCGGATGCAAGCCACGTTTCTACTGCAGATAATACTACTTTCTTAAAAAGACTACAACTCCCAGAATCCACTACCCCCCCTCCACTCACTGACTTCCCAAGCTTTGTGGTCCACTTAGAGGGAAAGCAGCTGGACTTACATTGGCGTCTATTTTGATCAGGGCAATATCCAGTTTGTGGTCGACTTCTTTGACTTTGGCATCAAACTGGTGGCCGCTCTTGAGCTCCACTTTGATCCTCTGCTTGTTGGTGAGGACGTGGGCATTGGTGATAATCAAGCCGTCTTCCGACACGATGAAGCCCGAGCCGCTGGACACCAGGATTTCTTTGTTGGTGTAAGGCACTCTGCCCCAAAACAACATCAACAATAATTTATCACCAGCTGATCCCCAACCCATCTAAAACACAGACATGTGCCTTTCATCTCAAGAACAGAGAAGCATCCCGAGCTCTGAAGATCACCTGGGAAGGAATCCCACTGGAGCATTGCAGCGCACCCAAATACCTGGGAGTCACTCTGGACCGTGCTCTTACCTACAAGAAGCACTGCCTGAACATCAAGCAAAAAGTGGGTGCTAGAAACAATATCATACAAAAGCTGACTGGCACAACCTGGGGATCACAACCAGACACAGTGAAGACATCTGCCCTTGCGCTGTGCTACTCCGCTGCTGAGTATGCATGCCCAGTGTGGAACACATCTCACCACACTAAAACAGTGGATGTGGCTCTTAATGAGACATGGAGTGCCTGCGCCCTACACCACTGGAGAAATTACACTGCTTAGCCGGTATTGCACTACCTGACATCCGCCGGGAAGTAGCAGCCTGGCTGAGCCTGGGAAAATCTTATTACAACAGCAAAACAGCAGAGAGGAAACAACCAGGCACATCTTAACACCTCTCAACAAAAGATTTTCCCAGGCTCACCAGGCCTTCAAATGCTAATGAAGGTGGTCAGTTGAAACATTCACACCTAGCTCCAGCAGAGAGCTCTTTGCCCCACCCCAGTCATTCCACAGATGTAAAAACCCATTTTCCTATTTCCAACAGACCTCACTACCTCTGAGGATGCTTGCCATAGATGCAGGCGAAACGTTAGGAGAAAAATTGCCTCCAGAACATGGCCCTATAGCCCGGAAAAACCCACAAGAACCTAATGTAATGTTTGTTTATGATACCATCAGAACTCAAAGAACACTGGGGGAATTGACACAAAAATTGGACACAAGACACCTAACAACCCATTGTATGTTCTCCATTCAAAAAAATTTATTTTGTCATTTGGGAATTGTCGTTGCTGGTATTTATAGTTTACCTACAATCAAAGAGCATTCTGAACTCCACCAATGATGGAATTGGGCCAAACTTAGCACACAGGGCTCCCATGACCAACAGAAAAAACTGGAAGGGTTTGGTGGCATTGACCTTGAGTTTGGGAATTGTAGTTCACCTACATCCAGAGAGCACTGTGGACTCAAACAATGATGGATCTGGACCAAACTTGGCACGAATATTCCATATGCCCAAATATGAACACAGATGGAGTTTAAGGGAAATAGACCTTGACATTTGGGAGTTGTAGTTGCTGGGATTTATAGTTCACCTACAATCAAAGAGCATTCTGAACTCCACCAATGATGGAATTGAACCAAACATGGCATACAGGACTTCCATGACCAACAGAAAACACTGGAAGGGTTTGGTGGGCATTGACCTTGAGTTTGGGAGTTGTAGTTCACCTACATCCAGAGAGCACTGTGGACTCAAACAATGATCTGGACCAAACTTGACACAAAAATTCCATATGCCTAAATATGAACACAGATGGAGTTTGGAGGAAATAGACCTTGACATTTGGGATTTGTAGTTACTGAGATTTATAGTTCACTACAATTAAAGAGCATTCTGAAACCCACAAACAACAGAAATGGGGCAAACTTCCCACCAAGAACCCCCATGACCAACAGAAAATACTTAAGGCCATCCAGTCCAACTCTCTTCACCAGGGCAAGAAAATAATCAGAGCCCTCCTGACAAAGAGCTATCCAGCCATAGATATAGATAGATAGATATGATTCACACACAGAGAGATATAGTATCCTAGATTTGAAAGGGACCCCTAAAGAAGGACAATGATATCTTGCATGTTGCAGGGTGGGCAAACCATATCAACAATGACAAAGCAACAACAAAAAGTACTGTTTACTCACAAGCAGAAAGGAATTACATATATTAGAAACCAACCCTTTCTCATTACTTTATTTTCCAGACCAACAGACTGGGCCACAGCAACGCCTGGCAGGGGACAGCTAATAATAAGAATAAGAATAAGAATAACTCAGCCGCTATCAAGACCTCAAAATCGAACTGCAAAGGCTCTGGTATAAACCAGTCCAGGTGGTCACAGTGGTCATCGGCGCACTGGGTGCCGTGCCAAAAGATCTCAGCCGGCATTTGGAAACAACAAACTGACAAAATCACGATCTGTCAACTGCAAAAGGCCTCGTGACTCCTCCGAAATGGCCAGGTGACCCCCCTGGGGGTCGCGACCCCCAGGTTGAGAACCGCTGCAGTAGGATTTCATGTGTCTTCCATTTGGGCAATAGTTGAGTTGTGAACTGGTGCACTGTCTTGCAGAAAGCAAAGGACACCTTTGGGGAGCATGCCATGTCCCTTGGTTTGGATGGCCTTCTGCAATTTCCACAGCAGTGAAGCCTAGTCTGCCCCAATTATCCTGGTCCCCTTTGCTAGGAAATCCATCAACACTACTCTGTGCTGGTCCCAAAATCCTATAAGTGGAGCTTGCCTGCCGAGAGTTGGGCATGTGCCTTCTTTGGAGGTGGTGCGTCAGGATGCTTCCATTACACCAACTGGACTTTGGTCTCAGGATCAGAGTGACGGACCCAGCTTTCCTCCTGTTGACAAAGTCCTCCTGGTTTCTATGGCACATCATTATCAAGAGAGCCTGAGAGCATTAGACTCGGTGCTTCTTCTGGAAAGGTGTGACCCAGTGAGTGGATACCTTATGCATGTGAAGATGGTCTTGGGTAATTTTCTCCATGGACTCATCTTGTCATTTTGGGCTAGGTGGCGAATGGTTATGTGGCAATTTTCCAAAATGGCAACCTTCACTTGCTGGATGGTGTGTTCCTCAAGAGCAGAGTGGGGTTGCCCTGCAATGGGAGCTGTTTGCACCGAAGTACGACCACATTGGAATGGACAATGCCAGTTCTTGACTCCATCATATGATGGGGAATCCTCACCATAACCCTCTTTCATCTCATCGAACATCTCCTTTGGTGTGCAGCCTTTCAAATCAAGGAACTTGAGGACTGCTTTGGATTCCTCTGGGTCCATTATCCAACCTCTCACCTCAAATCAAGGCCATTATCCTTTCTGTGTTGTAAATTGGCACGTCACCTATAGAGACTTATGTCATTACACATGTGCTGTTTCAGTGTCCTGTGGTAAATAGAAGTGGGTCAGGGGAAATCTTTATTGAATGCCCCTCATATCTAAGGTGTGTATGAAACCAACAAATCGTGTGTTTAGACTTGGGTACCATCTCCAAGATCTCTCAAGATGTACACATATGCATTTATGCAAGTATTCCAAAATCCCAAACGTTTCTGGTCCCAAGCATTTTGGATAAAGAATATAACCAGACAGATCCTCCGTTACCTGCGGTACAGTTCCAAGTGGACGACGGCAGGGGCAATCTTCTCCACCACGTCAGCAATGAAGTTGAACCTTTGCCGCAGGCTGTTGGGGTCCAGAGGATCTGCAGGACAACCAACCATTGTATCCATTACTCACTTGAGATTCCTCTAACGCAGAAGAAATGCCTAGCCTTAATTCACTACCAGTCACTGCCTTCCACCTGGAAACTGATGTCCTCGCTGCGGGAGAACATGTGGATCAAGAATAGAGCTCCAGAGCCACCTATGGACTCACCACCAAGGTACTGCACTTGGAGGACCATCATCCCTAGGCTATGAGGGATCGCCTAAGTAAGTAAGTCGGTCTATCTCAGGAGTTGGCAAGACGGGGTCTCATGGAGACACTTCTTCTCTCTTGTCCACCATCTCATCCTGACCAAGGCCAACTCTTTTGGGATCCAAACATTTTCATCTAACTCCGAAAGAGAAGAGGAAGGAAGGGGAGGAAAGGCCAGGGAGGAAAGGGCCTTGGGGAGAACCCCCTCCCTCCTGGCTTGCCTGCCATGCAGCCCCCAAGTTAAGAAGTTTCCTGTTCCAAGTGGTGTTCCCCTTCCTTGCAGGCCTACCTTTCTCCCCACAGGCGCCTTCTCCTTCCTTCCTTCCTTCCTTCCTTCTCCTTCCTCTTCCTTCCTTCCTTCCTCTTCCTTCCTTCCTTCCTTCCTTCCTTCCTTCCTTCCTTCCTTCCTTCCCTCCTTCCCTTCCATCCTTATTTATTTATTTATTTCATCTACTTATACCCCGCCCTTCTCACCCCGAGGGGGACTCAGGGACTCCTTTCCTTCCTTTCCTCCCTTTTGTCTTTCCTTCCTTTTTTTCTTTCCTCATGACCTCCCTCCCTTCCCTCCCTCTTTTTCATTCTATCCTTCCCCCTTTCTTTCCCTCTCTTTTCTTTCTCCTTCCTTCCTTCTTCCTTCCTTCCTTCCTTCCTTCCTTCCTTCCTTCCTTCCTTCCTTCCTCTCCTTTTGCCTTTCCTCCCTCCCTCCCTCTCTTCCTTACCTCCCTTTCATCCTTCCTTCCTTATCTCTTTCCTCCCTCTTTCCCTCTCTTTTTTTTCTCCTTCCTTCCTTCCTTCTTTCCCTCCCTCACTCTCTTTTGTCTTCCCTTCCTCCTTCCCTTCCTTCCCTCCTTCCCTTCCATCCTTCCTTTCCTCCCTTTTGTCTTTCCTTTCTTCTATTTCCTTCCTCATGACCTCCCTCCCTTCCCTCCCTCTTTTCCTTCCATCCTTCCCTTCCACCCTTTTGTCCTTCCTTCCCCCTTTCTTTCCCTCTCTTTCTCTTTCTCTTCCTTCCTTCCTTCCTTCCCTCCCTTTTGTCTTTTCTTCCTCCTTCCCTTCCTTCCCTCCTTCCCTTCCATCCTTCCTTTCCTTCCTTTTGACTTTCCTTCTTTTTTTTTCCTCATGACCTCCCTCCCTTCCCTCCCTCTTTTCCTTCCTCCTTCCTTCCACCCTTTTGTCCTTTTTCCCTTCCTTCCCCTTTCTCCTCTCTTTTCCTTCCCTTCCTTCCTTCTTTCCTTCCTCTCCTCCCTCTCTTTTGTCTTTCCTTCCTCCTTCCCTTCCTTCCTTCCCTCCTTCCCTTCCATCTTTCCTTTCCTCCCTTTTGTCTTTCCTTCCTTTTTTCTTCCTTCCTCCCTCCCTTCCCTCCCTCTTTTTCCTTCCATCCTTCCCTTCCATCCTTTTGTCCTTCCTTCCCCCTTTCTTTCCCTCTCTTTCTCTTTCTCCTTCCTTCCTTTCATCCTTCCTCCCCTCCCCTTTGTCTTCCCTTCCTCCCTCTTCCCTCCCTTTTTATTCTTCCATCCTTCCCTCTCCTTTCATCCTTCCTTCCTTCTCTTTTTTTTTTCCCTTCCTTTCCTTCCTCCCTCTTCCTTCCTTCCTCCCCTTCTCTCCTTTTTCCTTCCTTCCTTCCTTCTTTTCCTTCCACCCTTTCATCCTTCCTTCCCTTCTCCTCCCTCCTTCCCTCTCACCCTTTCTCCTTCCAACTTCCTTCCCTTTCTCTTTCTTCCTCTCTCTTTCCTCCCTCCCTTTCACCTTCCTTCCTCTCCTTCCTCTCCTTCCTTTCTCCTCCTCCTTCATTTTCCTTCTCCCTCCTTCCTCTCCTTCCTCCCTTCCACCTTCCTTTCCACTTTTTTTCTTTCTCTCTCTTTCCTTCCTTTCCTCCCTCCTTCCTCCCTCTTTTCCCTTCCTCCTTTCCCTCTCTTCCTCTTTCTCCTTCTTCCCTTTCATCCTTCCTTCTCCCCTTTGTCTTTCCTCCCTTCCCTCTTCCCTCTCTCTTTTTATTCTTCCGTTGTTCCCTCTCTCCCTTTCATCCTTCCTTCCTTCCTTCTCTTTCTCCTTCCTCACTTTCTCCCTCCTTCCTTCCTTCCCTTCCATCAATCCTTTCCTCCCTTTTGTCTTTCCTTCCTTTTCTTTCCTTCCTTGTTACCTCCCTTCCCTTCCTCTTTTTCCTTCCATCCTTTCCTTCCACCCTTTTGTCCTTCCTTCCCTGTTTGCTTCCTTCCCTTCAGTCCTTCCCTTCCTTTCCTCCCCTTTGTCTTTCCTTCCTCCCTCTTCCCTCTCCCCTTTTATTCTTCCTTCCTTCCTTCCCCCTTTCCTCCCTCCTTTCGTCTTTCTCCTTCCTTCCTTCTCTTTCATCCTCCCTTTTGTCTTTCCTTCCTCCCTCTCTCCTTTTGTTCTTCCATCCTTCCCTCTCTCACTTTCATCCTTCCTTCTCTCTTTCCTTCTTCGTTAACTCTCTCCCTTCTCTCCCTTTTTTCCTTCCATACTTTTGTCCTTCCTTCCTTCCTTCCTTCCTTCCTTTCCCCTTTCCTCCCTCTCTTCCTCCTTCCCTTCCTCCCTTCCATCAATCCTTTCCTGTCTTTCCTTCCTTTTCTTTCCTTCCTTGTTACCTCCCTTCCCTTCCTCTTTTTCCTTCCATCCTTTCCTTCCACCCTTTTGTCCTTCCTTCCCTGTTTGCTTCCTTCCCTTCAGTCCTTCCCTTCCTTTCCTCCCCTTTGTCTTTCCTTCCTCCCTCTTCCCTCTCCCCTTTTATTCTTCCTTCCTTCCTTCCCCCTTTCCTCCCTCCTTTCGTCTTTCTCCTTCCTTCCTTCTCTTTCATCCTCCCTTTTGTCTTTCCTTCCTCCCTCTCTCCTTTTGTTCTTCCATCCTTCCCTCTCTCACTTTCATCCTTCCTTCTCTCTTTCCTTCTTCGTTAACTCTCTCCCTTCTCTCCCTTTTTTCCTTCCATACTTTTGTCCTTCCTTCCTTCCTTCCTTCCTTCCTTCCTTCCTTTCCCCTTTCCTCCCTCTCTTCCTCCTTCCCTTCCTCCCTTCCTTCCTTGTTTGCTTCCTTCCCTTCCTTTCCTCCCCTTTGTCTTTCCTTCCTCCCTCTTCCCTCTCCCCTTTGATTCTTCCATCCTTCCCTCCCTCCCTTCCTTCCCCCTTCCTCTTTCTCCTTCCTTCCTTCCTTCCCCCTTTCCTCCCTCCTTTCGTCTTTCTCCTTCCTTCCTTCTCTTTCATCCTCCCTTTTGTCTTTCCTTCCTCCCTCTCTCCTTTTGTTCTTCCATCCTTCCCTCTCTCACTTTCATCCTTCCTTCTCTCTTTCCTTCTTCGTTAACTCTCTCCCTTCTCTCCCTTTTTTCCTTCCATACTTTTGTCCTTCCTTCCTTCCTTCCTTCCTTTCCCCTTTCCTCCCTCTCTTCCTCCTTCCCTTCCTCCCTTCCTTCCTTGTTTGCTTCCTTCCCTTCCTTTCCTCCCCTTTGTCTTTCCTTCCTCCCTCTTCCCTCTCCCCTTTGATTCTTCCATCCTTCCCTCCCTCCCTTCCTTCCCCTTCCTTTATTCTTCCTTCCTTCCTTCCCCCTTTCCTCCCTCCTTTCGTCTTTCTCCTTCCTTCCTTCTCTTTCATCCTCCCTTTTGTCTTTCCTTCCTCCCTCTCTCCTTTTGTTCTTCCATCCTTCCCTCTCTCACTTTCATCCTTCCTTCTCTCTTTCCTTCTTCGTTAACTCTCTCCCTTCTCTCCCTTTTTTCCTTCCATACTTTTGTCCTTCCTTCCTTCCTTCCTTCCTTTCCCCTTTCCTCCCTCTCTTCCTCCTTCCCTTCCTCCCTTCCTTCCTTGTTTGCTTCCTTCCCTTCCTTTCCTCCCCTTTGTCTTTCCTTCCTCCCTCTTCCCTCTCCCCTTTGATTCTTCCATCCTTCCCTCCCTCCCTTCCCCCTTTCCTCCCTCCTTCCTCTTTCTCCTTCCTTCCTTCCTTCTTCCTTCCTAACTTCCTTCCTTTCCTTTCATCCTCCCTTTTGTCTTTCCTTCCTCCTTCTCTCCTTTTATTCTTCCATCCTTCCCTCTCTCCCTTTCATCCTTCCTTCTCTCTTTCCTTCTTCGTTAACTCTCTCTCTTTTCTTCCTTCCTTCCTTCCTTTTCATCCTTCCTTCCCTCCGTTTGTCTTTCCTTCCTCTCCTCTTCCCTCTTCCTTTTCTCTCCTTCTTCTTTCCTCCTTTTCCCCTCTTCCTTCTTCCTTCCTTCCTTCCTTCCTTTCATCCTTCCCTCCCTTTTGTCTTTCCTTCTTCTCCCTCTTCCCTCTCTCCTTTTCATCCTTCCTTCTTCTCTTTCCTCCCTTCCTCCCTCTCTTCCCTTCCCTTCCTTCCTTCCTTCCTTCCTTCCTTCCTTCCTTCTTCCTTCCTTCCTTCTTCCCTCCTTTTTCTTTCCTTCCTCCTCTTCCCTCTCCTTTTCATCCCTCTCTTCTCCTTCTTTCCTCCTTTCCCCTCCTTCCTCCTCCCTTCTTCCTTCCTTCCTTCCTTCCTTCCTTCCTTTTCATCCTTCCTTCCCTCCCTTTTGTCTTTCCTTCCTCCTCTTCCCTCTCTCCTTTTCATCCTTTCTTTCCTCCTTTCCTCCCTCCTTCCTCCTCCCTTCCTTCCTTCTTCTCCTCCTTCCTTCCTTCCTTCCTTCTTCTTTCTTCTTCCTTCCCTCCCCTTTTGTCTTTCCTTCCTCCCTCTTCCCCTCTCCTTTCCTTCCTTCCTTCTTTCCTTTCTCCTCTTCCTCCTTTCCTTCTTCCTTTCTCTTCTTCCCTTCCTTTCTTTCCTTTCCTTCTCTCTTCCCTTTCCTTTTCCTCCTTCCTTCCTTCTTTCCCTCCCTCTTCCTCTCTCCCTTCTTTCCTTCCTTCCTTCCTCCTTCCTTCCTTCCTTCCTTCCTTCCTTCCTCCTCCTTCCTTCCTTCCTTCCTTCCTTCCTTCCTTCCTTCCTTCCTTCACGGGGCAGCTACTTTTTCCTATCCTGGGCTGCTCCCCTGTGCCCCCCAAGTGTGCCAGGCGTGCCAGGCGTACCTTTCTCCCCGCAGGCGCCCTTCTGGACGGCGATGACGGGCATCTGTGCCCCCTTCCTGGGGGGCTCCTTGTTGTGCGCCTTCAGGTGGCAGAGGCTGCGGTAGGTGCGCCCGTCGCTCCCGCAGAGGGGCGAGGGGGAGTCCGGGCAGGTGCAGACCCCCCTGGGCCGCCCCCCTCCCCCTCCTGGGGGGCCCCGCTTGCAGAAGAGTCCGGAGGCGCAGAGTGGGCCGGGGGCGCAGGGCTGCCCTTCTCCGGGGGCACACTCCCAGCAGCACTGGCAGCGGTCCGGGCGCAGTTGACCCCCGAGGGCCTGGCAGGCGAGAGGAGAGGGGGGCGCCGGGCAGCGCGAAGCCTGGCAGGTGGGTGGGCAAGGTGGGTCCCCTCGCAGGCCGGGCACCCACGCCGCCAGGACCACCGCCACCACCACCCTCAGCACCATCCCAGCCATGCCTTCGCCTACTCCAGAAGGGTTTGCCTCTGCCAAGAGCCATCCTGGGAAGAGGAGGAGGCCTTTTATGCCCAGCGCCCTGGGGGTGCGCCCAAAGGCGCAAAGCCCAACCCTGCCAAAGACGCCTCTCCTCCTCCTCCTCCTCCTTCTTTCCCTTCTCCTCCTCCTCCTCCTTCCCCTTCCCCTTCTTCTCCTCCTCCTCCTCCTCCTCCTTCCCCTTCCCCTTCTCCTCCTCCTCCTCCTTCTTCCCCTTCTTCCCCTTCTCCTCCTCCTCCTCCTTCTTCTTCTTCCCCTCCTCCTCCTCCTCCTTCTTCCCCTTCTCCTCCTCCTCCCCCTTCCCCTTCTTCTCCTCCTCCTCCTTCTCCTCTTCATCCCCTTCTTCCCCTTCTCCTCCTCCTCCTCCTCCTCCTTCCCCTTCTTCTTCTTCTCCTTCTCCTCCTCCTCCTTCCCTTCCCCTTCTCCTCCTCCTCCTCCCCTCCTCTTCTTCTCCCTCCTCCTCCTCCTCCTTCCTCCTCCTCCTCCTTCTCTTCCTCCTCTCCTCCTCCTTCTCCTTCTTCCCCTTCTTCTCTTCCCCTCCTCCTCCTCCTCCTCCTCCTCCCTCTTCCTTCTTCTTCCCTTCTCCTCCTCCCTCCTCCTTCTCCTCTTCCCCTTCTTCTCCTCCTCCTCCTCCTCCTTCCCCTTCTTCCCCTTCTCCCCTTCTCTCCTCCTCCTCCTCCTCTTCTTCTTCCCCTCCTGCTCCTCTCTTCTTCTCCTCCTCCTCCTCCTCCTCCTCCTTCTTCTTCCCCTTCTCCTCCTCCTCCTCCTCCTCCTTTCCTCCTCCTCCTCCTCCTTCTTCTTCCCCTTCTCCTCCTCCTTCTCCTTCTTCCCCTTCTTCTTCTTCCCCTCCTCCTCCTCCTCCTCTCCCAGGGACCCCTTCCCTCTAGACTCCTGGCCAGTTCTTTCCAGGGCTGGAAACAGACCTATTCTGAAGCAGGGGTCCCCAAACTTTTTAAACAGAGGGCCAAGTCACAGTCCCTCAAACTGTTGGAGGACCAGATCATAATTTGGGGAAAAAAACATAAATGAATTAGGTTCTTGTGCAGTGTTTCTCAACCTGGGGGTCGGGACCCTTGAGGGGGTCGCGAGGGGGTGTCAGAGGGGTCGCCAAAGACCATAAGAAAACATAGTATTTTCTGATGGTCATGGGGATTCCATGTGGGAAGTTTGAGCCAATTCTATCGTTGGTGGAGTTCAGAATGTTCTTTGATTGTAATGAACTACAAATCCCAGCAACTACAACTCCCAAATGTCAAGATCTATTTTCCCCCAGACTCCACCAGTATTCACATTTGGGCATATTGAGTATTCATGCCAAGTTTGGTCCAGATCAACCATTACATGAGTCCACAGTGCTCTCTGGATATAGGTGAACTACAACTCCCAAACTCAAGGTCAATGCCCATCAAACCCTTCCAGTGCTTTCCATTGGTCATGGGAGCCAAGATTGGTTCAAATCCATCCCTGGTGGAGTTCGGAATGCTCTTTGATTATAAGTGAACTACAAATCCCAGCAACGACAACTCCCAAATGACAAAATCAATCCTCCCCCAACGCCACTAGCATTCACATTTGGGCGTATTGGGAGTTTGTGCCCAGTTTGGTCCAGTGAATGAAAATGCATCCTGCATGTCAGATATTTGCATTATGATTTATAACAAGAGTAAAATGACTGTTATGAAGTAGCAACGAAAACAATATTATGGTTGGGGGTCACCACAACATGAGGAACTGCATTAAGGGGTCGCAACATTCAGAAGGTTGAGAATCACTGTTCTTGGCCATGTTCTAGAGGCATTTTTCTCCTGACGTTTCGCCTGCATCTATGGCAAGCATCCTCAGAGGTAGTGAGGTCTGTTGGAACTAGGACAATGGGTTTATATATCTGTGGAATGGCTGGGGTGGGGCAAGGAGCTCTTCTCTGCTGGAGCTAGGTGTGAATGTTTCAACTGACCACCTTCATTAGCATTTGAAGGCCTGGCTGAGCCTGAGAAAATCTCCTGTTGAGAGGTGTTAAGCTGTGCCTGGTTGTTTCCTCTCTGCTGTTTTTGCTGTTGTAATTTTAGAGTTTTTTAATACTGGTAGCCAGATTTAATACTGGTAGCCAGATACTGGTAGCCAGGAGTCCTTCCTTCTGGACTCCTGGCCAGTTCTTTCCAGGGCTGGAAACAGA